CTCTCCTCTCCTCTCCTCCTCTGCCTGTGTTGCAGCAGTCAGATGAATATTTGATGCTCTATCATGCGTCACTGCTGAGAGACCTTCTAGGCTTCCAGCATCTCTCTCTTTGTCTCCCACTCTGTCTCTCTGTCTCCATCTCTGTCCACAGCTGAGTCAGCTTCAGTCCAGTGATCTGAGAGGATTGCCTCTCTCTCATTCTCCCCTCCTCCACTCCATCCTGCTGCTCTCTGCTTCCTTTCTTGCTCTCTCTTCCCTTCATCACCTCTTACACAGAGGCACATTAGCTCTGATCAAGCAAGAACTCCCATCTTCATCAGGAACATCTGCTGACATCTCTTTATTGACCGCATCTCTTTCTGCAACAAGGAAGGCGTCCCGTGTTTTTCTTTCCACCTCTGATCTGTACCAGTAGTCGACAGCTGCAGCTTTTCGTCACCTTTACCTCTGATCAGTTTTATAAAGGTGCAGCATGAAGGACCTGTGTGAAGGACTGACGTAGCTGGAAGAAAATGAGACTTTATTCTGCAGCAGTGATATCCACTCCTGATGAGACCACTTCTCTGTATTTATAATTATCAGTTTGCAGTCGTAGTGAGTGGTTAGACTGTGTTTGTGTTTTTTTGTGTTTTTTCCTCGAAGTGCTCCTTCCACCGCTCGACCAGATCCCCAGTCTGGGTCAGCAGTTCTCCTCCCTGGCTCTATACAGCCGGGGCGAATCCCTGCCTCCCCTTTCTGAGGCATCGGACGGTTTGCCAGAACTTCCTCAAAGCCGACCGAAAGTCCTTCTCCATAGCCTCCCTGAACTCCCACACCCGAGTTTTAGCTTCCACAACCTCCACAGCTGCAGCGCCTTTGGCCAGCCGGTACCTGCCTGCTGCCTCAGGAGACCCCCAAGCCAACCAGGCCCGAAAGGTCTCCTTCTTCAGCCTGACGGCTTCCCTCACCGCTGGTGGTTTTGGGGTTGCCGCCACGACAGGCACCAGTGACCGTCTGGCCACAGCTCCTAATGTCTGCTTCTGCGATGGAGGCTTTGAACATGGCCCAGTCTGTCCCGAGCCTCCCCTGGGATGCAGGAGAAACACTTTCGGAGGTGGGAATTGAAAACCCCACGGACAGGGGCCTCTGCCAGATGTTCCCAGTTCACCCGCACTATCAGTTTGGGTTTACCAGGTCTGTCCAGCAGCCTTCCCCGCCATCGGATCCAACTCACCACCAGGTGGTGATCAGTTGACAGCTCTGCTCCTCTCTTCACCCGTATGTCCAAAACATACAGCCGCAGGTCTGATGATACGACTACAAAGTCGATCATCGACCTTTGGCCGAAGGTACTCTGGTACCAAGTACACTTATGAGCAACCTTTTGTTTGAACATGGTGTTTGTTGTGGTCAATCCATGGCTAGCACAGAAGTCTAAAAACAAAACACTGCTCGGGTTCAGATCAGGCAGGCCGTTCCTCCCAATCACGCCCCTCCAGGTTTCACCGTCATTGGCCACATGAGCATTGAAGTCCCCCAAGAGAACTATGGAGTCCCCAGGCAGCACCCCTTCTAGAACACCGCCCAGAGACTCCAAGAAGGCCAGACAGTCTGAACTGCCGTTTGGTGCATAAGCACAAACGACAGTCAGAGTTTTCCCCTCCGCAACACGCAGTCGCAGAGAGGCGACCTTCTGGTTCTCCAGGGAGAACCCCAGCAAGGCGGCGCTCAGCCGGGGGCTTGTGAGCATCCCCACACCCACCCGGCGCCTCTCACTGTGGGCTAACTCCAGAAAAGAAGAGAGTCCAATCCCTCTCCAGGAGTTTGGTTCCGGAGCCCTTGCTTTGCGTGGAGGTGAGCCCGACTATATCTAGCCGGTAACGCTCCACCTCCCGCAGCAGCTCAGGCTCCTTCCCCGCCAGTGAGGTGACGTTCCACGTCCCCAGAGCTAGTCTACGCCACCAGGGGGCGGTACACCAGGATGCCCGCTCCTGCCTACCACCCGGTGGGCATAGCACCCGACCCCGATCCTCTGCCCTGTGGGTGGTGGGCCCTCTGGGCAGCATCCCCATGTTGCTTCTTCGGGCTGTGCCCGACCAAGCCCCACGGGACTAATGCCCCGGACAACATAGCTCCCAGGATCACAGGGACACTCAAACCCGTCCACCGCGATAAGGTGGCGATTCGTTGTGGGGTCTAGTAAAACAATACTTAATAAATGTTATAGTGAAAATGTAGATAAATAAAAAATAAAAAACTATCAGAAATAAGGTGTAATTTTTGTTGTTTGTTAGAGGTCAGTTCCAATAGAGATTAGCTGACTTTAGATTAGTCGGTTACATGTGTTGGTAAATATGAAATGCTATTTACAGACTGAGGGCTCGAACCTACAGGAGGCCTAATTCTCTTCTGCAGGAACTCACTTCACGTTAACAACTAGGGAGGAAAACTAATTAGAATATGCAATAATTAAGATCATTGTTTGTGATGGAAGAGTGGCAATAGAATGTGCTAGAGGCCACCAAAGCAGACCTTCATGTGTTTTAGCCCCGACTGGCTGCTCCGTGTTCTTGTGGAATGCCTGTAGATGTTCTACACGGTGGACGGTCTGACACAAGCTGCCTGGCTGCTCCACAATCAGCTCCCTGCTGTCAGTGTGGAGCTTCTCTGAAGGACTCTGACCCTGAATGAATACCTCTTCTGTCTCTGATGTTTGAACTCAAACACTTAGGGCTCCCAACTAAGGCCCGGCTGGCCGATTAAATTGGTCGGGCCCTACTCCCAACACACTGTACATAAAAGATGGACCCATCTTCCAGGTCTGACAAGTAAAGCCAACGCGGATTTAACGTGACCTGTTTTCTTTGTAACAGCCAGCAGGGGGCAGCTGCTCTGGTTGCAAAAAGAAGTCTGCTTGTATAGAAGTCTTTGAGAACGTGACCGTACATATCTCTTATTTGGTGCCTCAGTAACGATGTTCATCATGAGTTCCGGGTCTTAATTACTCGTGTAAAATCTCCTTCAACACAGCATGATGTTCATTCAGTAATTTATGGTCCCATTTACAGGAAACTAGGCAATGAAAGAGGATGTGTTTGAGGACAGGACGACCACATGGCTGACATGTTGCTCATGTATCCCTGTGTTTGTTGACCTTCAGTTCTCCAGTGAGATCCACTGTCCAGCTTCAATAGCAGACTTAGTGCTTCAGAAGTGTAGCCCCTAAACCACTGGGTGACATCCTGGGTGTTTATCTTTATATACAGTGCGCAGGGCTCCGTCATGTGCATAGTGTGTTGATTTGAACACATTGTCTGTCATTAACAGCAGTTACAGTCAGTACACACTGACTCGTCCTTCCTTGATGTTCTCTATCTCAGAATACGAGTGCACGAGATGCTCACTGAGATTAAAATAACAACTTCACATGTTCTATACAAGCTTCTGATCTCCATAGAACCATACTGCATAGCACAACATAAAAACTGTTTTTCAAAGTGTAACTTACGTTTCTGACTTCTGTCTTTACACTTTTAGAACAATCCCAGAACCTCCAGTGTTATGTTGTTTTTAATGGTGTGCAGTGACGAGTCCGTTAACTGATTAATCAGAAGATCTGCTGGTTCTAAGCTCCTCAGATGTGAGAATCTCCTGCTTTTCCTAGTCTTACATGAAAGTCAATGAAATGTCTTTCTGTTATCGACGTTAGGTTTGTCAAAACTGTGAAGATAATGTGGGCTCTTAGAAACAATCAGTCAGTCAGTTTAAAGAAGAAAATAATCAGGAGATTAATCAACAGTGAAGATTATTTGTTCTTTATACAGATATATTTGGAATTAAAATAATTTAATGAAAACTGTAGAACGTGGAAGCGTAGCTGGAGTAATGCAGTCCTCTCACGTCACATGATGTTCAGTTTGTATTGATCACCGGCCATCAGTTCTTTTATCGATGATTTACTTTCTGTGATGTTTTTGTTTTTGTTTACCTGTTGACTGTTTTATTTTCATCTTTTTACGTTTCAGTCTTGTTTTTGTTTTTCTTACAGTTCCTTTGGAGTTATGATTTTGACGTGCATGCCTCCCGTTTCTCCATCATCTCCATGGTTACCCTGGGATGTGAGTGGTTTCTATAGCAACAGAGGGGTCACAGCCGCATCATCAGCCGACCACCAAATTGAAACTTGAAATAAAAAGAAAGGAAAAAAGTAGCTGGCGGTTTGTTAGTACAACTTTCTGAACACCTTCACAGCTTTTTTAAACTCATGGTGTAGAAAGGATCTTCATGACTGTTAATCAAGCTGTTTTCTTGCACATGTCAATTCGTCTGTCACGACTGAGATCATGTAGCTTCAACAAGTCATTTATGAAAGTTACGGTGAACCACTAGAATTTAAGGAATTAGTTTTATGGGACTTTAGAGTGAAACAAATCGTAGCATCCATGTGTTGTCTATACAGATATCTGCTCTTCTCTGCTGCTGTCGTATGATTGTTTATTCACCATGAACTTTATAAAACATTTGTGTGATACCAGCACAGTTTTCTGTCCCTCAGCACAGTGAATAATGTGCACATGCACCGCAGCTGACCAATTAAATAACATTTTTGTTACTCATATTTGAAATGTATGTTGTTCACATTAAAAAACAAGGTTCATTCAGTGGAAGGACCAAATTGGCTTCAGACTAAGTGAATGTACTGCCTGCCTGCATTCGTTTTGGTATTAAAATTATTACAAATTAATTTAGAAATAAAAAATACAGAAATGAAAAAGCATGTTGATAACAAAAAATAATCCAAATATATTCATCTCATCAATTCATTTTCTTTCTTTTTAATGCATCCTTTTCATCAGGCTGTTTCTGTATTTTAACTTGTATTTTTTTCAGCATTTCATGAATGGATTTTGTATTTTCGAGTCTATTTTTGTGAAGTAGGATGTCCTAACACATGTTGTCACACTCAAGCCCCCGGACCACATCTGGCCTGTAGTCTGGTTATATTTGGCCTGTGAGAACATTTAAACGTCCATTGGAGCTGATTGCAGGAGCAAAACCAAACTCTGTTTCCATATGAAAAGTTTTCATTATTTTTCTGGGAAGAAAGGAAATAAATTCACAGTTGTAGTCAGTTTTTCAGTAAATATTGAGTCAACTCAGTCCCAGTTTTTTTTTTTCATGTTTGAGTTTGACACCCATGTCTGTATATATATATATATATAAGTACAGTCGTGACTCCATAATCGACCCGTAACAATCC